ATGCCTGGTGGTTAAGGACCCCTGTTCTAGAGGACAAAACCTCCAGCATCCCCTGCCCCAGCTCCCTGAGGGCACAAATTCGGGTGATTCAGGGTCCAGTTCTACAGGAAGCCTGACCCAGGAGTCTTGCCATCCAGTCCCTGATTTGCCTCCACAGACTTCAGAATTCCTAGCACCTAGTCTTGAAAGCGACCCCAGACTCAAAAGTCACAGCTGGACAATAGATGGTAGAGGGAGGTTCTGGTTTTCAGGATGTTTTGGAGTCTCCTCCCACTGCCACCCACCCCCTGTGATGGTCCAGCCTCATGTCTGATGCTGATGGCCATGAGCAGAGATTACAGCCACTTCTGGTGCCAGGGAGCCCACCCAGACTCCAGCCCGGGGATTCCCTTCCCAGACCCTCTCTCCCGACTCCACTGTGGTCATGGGGGTAGGGCGGGACCACTGAGTCAGAAGTATGGTCAGGGCCAGAGAGGGTGAGTCTAGTGCCTTATGTGTGTCCCTGCCCCTCACTGCTTTGTGTGTGTGTTGGGGGTGGGGATACTCCATTGTCCCCAGAACTATTTGTCTCCAATCCCCATCCAATAGTCCTGTATCTGGATCCTAAGAGGGATCTCTTCAGGTTCCTCAATTCCAACATAGAATCATAGACATTCTCCTGCGTCAGACTGCAGACTTGGAGGTCATACCTGCCCAGGTGATGTGGACAGGCAAGCCCCCTATTAGAGCCTCCATTTCCTCAATAGCTAATGCCTAGACCCCCTGTGGTAGGCAAGGTGATCCTCTTCCTCCTCCTCCTCCTCCTCCTTCCTGTTCCTCCTCTTCTTCTCCTTCTCCTTCTCCTTCTTCCTTTTTGAGATGGAGTCTCATTCTGTTGTCCAGGCTGGAGTGCTGCGGCATGATCTCAGCTCACTGCAACCTCCACCTCCAGGTTCAAGTGATTCTCCTGCCTCAGCCTCCTGAGTAGTTGGGATTGCAGGCGCCCACCACCACTCCTGACTAATTTTTGTATTTTTAGTAGACACGGGCATTTTGCCATTTTGGCCAGGCTGGTCTCAAATTCCTGACCTCAAGTGATCCACCTGCCTCGGCCTTCCAAAGTGCTAGTATTACAGGCGTGAGCCACAGAGCCCAGCTGAGGCGAGATTCTTCTGCTTGCAAGTACGACAGACCCTACTTCAAACTAGTTTGGGCAAAACTAAAAGGAAGTTTCTTGTTTGTGTAACTGACAAACCCAGGGTTAGAACAACAGGTTCAGGTATGGCTTGTAACCAGGGTCTCAAATGATGTCTCCAGGACCCAGACTGCCTCTAGGGTCTGATTTTCTCAGCACTGCCTTCACTCTCAAGTAGATTCTTCCCTGTCACAGCTCCCATTACAACCTCCCATTGTGGCCGCCCTAGTGAGCCTTGGAAAAAAAAGAGAATGCTTTCTTCCCACTGGTTAAACCAATAAAAGTCCCAGACCAGAGTTTCATTGGCTGGGTCTTGCTCAAATGCCCACCTCTCTGCCCAATCTTAGACTCTGATTGGCTGGGTCTAGATCATTTGTCCACTGTAAACCAATCCCTAGTTTATGGCTGGTTGGACCTAGGACACATTTTCTTTCTTCAAAGAAAATTGAGAATATTCCCCATGAAAGGGACAGGTGCTGGTCAGGCAGCTTTGCAGATGTTTCTCACAAGACATGATTGCTTGTGGGCCTTTGGTTTAGCGAGGCCTTTTTCTCAAAGGAAGTCCAGAGCCTGGAACAGGGTCTCAGCCCCACCCAAGCCCGGGAAATGTGCAACTCTGTGGCTCCACCCCCTGCACCTGTCCATCAAGGCAGAGCCCACATCCAATTGGTCCGGCTGCTCCATTAGAAGGCGGTCCTATAGCTCAGTAACTGGCTTCTTTCTAAGATCAAATAGAGGAGCTGGCATGAAGTCATTATTAAATTGATCTTTCTTGGAGACACAGAATTTGGCAATACCGTAGGAAATAGAAAATTTTCCTCACCAGATCTCGACGCTCATTTCTTAACACTCAAGTTGTCTCAAATTTCACCACATATTTTAAACCAAAGCATCATCACTTTCTGCACATAAGACAGACAGTCTTATACTTGTTTTTTCTTTTCTTTCTTTCTTTATTATTATTATTTTTTTGAGACGGAGTTTTGCTCTCGTTGCCCAGGCTGGAGTGCAGTGGCGCGATCTCAGCTCACTGCAACCTCCACCTCCCGGGTTCAAGTGATTCTCCTGTCTCAGCCTCCCGAGCGACTAGGATTACAGGCACCAGCCACCACGCCCAGTTAATTTTTGCATTTTTGGTAGAAATGGGGTTTCATCATATTGGTCAGGCTGGCCTCGAACTCCTGACCTTAGGTAATCCACCAGCCTCAGACTCCCAAAGTGCTGGGATTACAGGTGTGAGTCACGGCCCCCAGCCATTTTTTTTTTTTTTAACCTAAAAGGGAGAAAACTAAAATTCTCAAGACTTGCATCGTCCATCAGCAACCTTGTGCACTCGAAAGGTAGCTAGTCTAAATTAAGGTGCTCAGTCTATACATATTTGATTTCGAAGGCTTCGTGCCAAAAAAGGGATGCAAATTAGCTCATTAATCATTTGAAAATATTACCTACATGCTGAAATGATCATAGTTTGGGTATATTATGTTAATAAAAATAGTATTAGCATTGTTTTCAAATGTTGACATTCTTTTAGTTGATCTCTTTTTAGCCTTTTAATGTGGCTGCTAGAAATTTTTATTTTTATTTATTTATTTTAGACAGAGTCTCCCTCTGTCGCCCAGGCTGGAGTGCAATGGCGTGATCTCAGCTCACTGCAACCTCTGCCTCCCGGGTTCAAGAGTCTCTCATGCCTCAGCCTCGTGAGCAGCTGGGATTACAGGTGCCCATCACTACACCCAGCTAATTTTTTTTTGTTTTTGTATTTTTAGTAGAGACAGGGTTTCACCATGTTGGCCAGGTTGGTCTCGAACTCCTGACCTCAAGTGATACACCCACCTCGACCTCCCAAACTGCTGAGATTACAGGCATGAGCCACTGCACCTGGCCAGAAAAAAATAAAAATAAAAATGTATGCCTGTAATCCCTGCACTTTGGGAGACCAAGGCTGGAGGATCAGTTGAACCCAGGAGATCAAGACCAGCCTAGACAACATAGTGAGACCTTCATCTCTTCAAAAAATAAGAAAAATTAGACCGGGCACGGTGGCTCATGCCTGTAATCCCAGCACTTTGGGAGGCCGAGGCGGGTGGATCACGTGAGGTCAGGAGTTCGAGACCAGCCTGACCAACATGGTGAAATCCCGTCTCTACTGAAAATCCAAAATTAGCCGGGCGTGGTGGTCCATGCTTGTAATCCCAGCTACATGGGAGGCTGAGGCAGGAGAATGACTTGAACCTGGGAGGCGGAGGTTGCAGTGAGCTGAGATGGCGCCATTGCACTCCAGCCTGGGTGACAAGAGCAAAACTCCATCTCAAAGAAGGAGAAAAACTAGTCAGGTGGAGTAGTGCCCACCTGTAATTTCAGCTACTTGGGAAGCTGAGGCAAAAGGATTACTTGAGCCAGGGAGGTCAAAGCTGCAGTGAGCCATGATTGTGCTGCTGCACCCCAGCCCGGGCAACAGAGGGAAACCTTGTCTCAAAAAAATTATTAAAAAACCTTTTTTTTTTTTTTTTTTTTTTTTTTAAGTGACAGGGTCTTGCTATGTTGCTCACGCTGGTCTCAAACTCCTGGCCTCGAATGATCCTCCAACCTCAGTCTCCTGAGTAGCTGGGACTATAGAGCGAGCCACCATACCCAGCTACTTTGTGCCTTTTGTAATCCCAGTTTTCAAGATCAGGTAAACACAAAGTGAACTAAGACACTTTCTAGATAGAGTGTGGGCATGTGAATGCATGCCTGTGTCTATTTTTCTGAGTATCACAATGCAAATAATATGCAAATGAGTTTGTGATGTGTGTCCATGTGCAGACCTGTGTGTGTGTGTGTGAGACAGAGAGAGAGAAAAAGAGAGAGATAGAGTATCTGGGTAGATGAGCAGATGGATGGATGAGAATGAGAAACCTGGAGTTTCCAGGTGCAAAGGAAACTGTTCCTCGAGGATTTTTATTTTTTTATTTTTTTTGAGACAGAGTTTCGCTCTTGTCACCGAGGCTGGAGTGCAATGGTGTGATCTCGGCTCACTGCAGCCTCCGCCTCCTGGGTTCAAGCGATTCTTCTGCCTCAGCCTCCTGAGTAGCTGGGATTACAGGTGTCCACCATCACGCCCAGCTAATTTTTGTATTTTTAGTAGAGACCATGTTGGCCAGGCTGGATTCGAACTCCTGACCTCAGGTGATCCACCCACCTCAGCCTCCCAAAGTGCTGGGATTACAGGCGTGAGCCACCGCGCCCGGCCTCCTCCAGGGTTGTATAAAAGCAGGGGATTTGGGGAGGGAGGGAAGGATGTGGGTCTGTCCTCAGTCCCAGATGTGGGTGTGGTGTTCCAGTGGTTAGGTCCCGTTGCCTCACAACTGTGCTTTTCCTCCACGGGGACTTGTAGAAGTAGAACTTCTTGGGGGTGGAGCTGAGGGGTGGAGCTGAGGCTGGGGGAGGAAGGTGTGGGGGGACCCAGGGGTCCAGTCTCCAAGCCTGGTTGCTCTTACCCGAAAAGTGGGGACACTGAGGTGTCACAGCTTCTCTTTTGAGACAGAGAGGAAGTAGGAGGGTGAGGCCCATCCAGGTAGACACAGACACACACAGAGACACACAGCTTCCTGTAACATTTCCAAGTGTTAAATTCCATCTCCCGGTCTCGAGGTTTTTCTTCTTGGTCCTTCCTGAGACTTCTAGGCTCCCAAGACCCTCTTGGTCAGGGCAGGGATGAAGGTGCCCCAGGGTGGGAGAGTCGTGGATCCCTGAAAAGAGGAGGCTGCTCCCTCTCTTCCCTCCCCCCACCTCCAGATTTCCTCATCTGCCTTGACACCTTCCGGTGGGTGGGGACGTGTATGGACAAATTTGTGGGCTGGGGACCATGGAAGTGGAGGAAATCTACAAGCACCAGGAAGTCAAGATGCAAGCACCAGCCTTCAAGGACAAGAAACGGGGGATCTCAGCCAAGAATCAAGGTTAGGGACCTTGAGGTGGAAGGGAGGGGTTAAGAAGGAGAGGTGCGGGGGCCGGGGGCCATTGCTCACGTCTGTAATCCCAGCACTTTGGGAGGCTGAGGCGGGAGGATTGTGTGAGCCCAGTTGATGGAAACTGGCCTGGGCAACATAGGGAGACGCTGTGTGTAAAAAAATAAAAATAAAAAGAGAAGGAGAGGTTCAGATGGGAGAGGTAAGGGGTTAAAGGTGGGGGCTCCTTCCCTTCCAAGGTGTGTGTGTGTGTGTGTGTGTGTGTGTGTGTGTGTTTATGTGTGCTGTAATCACGCAAACCCTCACACACCCACTCTGCTTAACCAAAAAGCAGATTTTAGCTTCTCACTCCTTATCTTTCACCCCCTACAATTTATTGAGTGCAAAGGGTTGGGTAAAACAAGATCCCAGGTCCCCTCTCTACACCACAGAGCTCTGAGCAGGTCTCCAAACCCTCCCACTGCCCTCCACACAGGTGCCCATGACCCAGACTATGAGAATATCACCTTGGCCTTCAGACACCAGGACCATGCAAAGGGTGGTCATTCACGACCCACGAGTCAAGGTGAGCAGACACTCACCTGCTCACATCCCATCACCTTGGGAAGGGGCAGGTGGGCAGGCAACTGCAGGGCCCCCAGGGGTGCACGGACGGGAGGAGGCGATGGGGAAGGAAGAGGTGACAGATGTTGATGTGATAATGAGGTCTGTTGATGATGACAATGTTGGGGAATGCTGGTGAGGGGGTCTGTGATGGTGACGGTGTTAGATCGCTGAGGGTGGCTGCTGGCGGCAGTGTTGTTGACAATGATGACAAGCTGCATGACCACAGCTGCTGATGGTTTTGGGAGGAGCGAGGTATCCATGGTGTTAGAGACAGTGAGGATGGTTTGAGTGGTGGTGCTGGCCCCTCAAGGTCACTTCGCTGCCTCTTTGCTCCAGTCCCAGCCCAGTGCAGGCCACCCTCAGACTCCACCCAGGTCCCCCGCTGGTTGTACAGAGCCATCCTGAGCCTGTACATCCTCCTGGCCCTGGCCTTTGTCCTCTGCATCATCCTGTCGGCCTTCATCATGATAAAGAGTGAGTACTTCTTGGGAGGAGGGTGCTGGGGGGCCCTAGACTTTCTCCCTTGTCCCTCTCTCTCTCTCTCCCTGGGTGCTTCAAGGATTTTCCTGCCCCTCCTGAACAGATGCTGAGATGTCCAAGCAGCTGCTGGGCTTTAAAACGGAGCTTTGGAACGGTGAGCAGAGGGTCTGAGGGAGACCCATGGGGTCATGGTGGGGATCTGGAGAGGGACGGATGCACAGACACCCCTGTTTCATGCCCTCAGTCTCAAACTCCATGCAAGCATTCGAAGAGAGACAGAAAGAAGTCTGGAAGTCTGTTCAGGGGAACATCACCACGGTCAGGAGCAAGGTGGAGAAATTAGAGATGCAATTAGCAGGTGCCTGTGTAGTCTTGCCTTCTGTGGGGGAAATTTGTCACCAATGCCTGGCACTGAGCTGGGGGCAGGGAATTCAGGGAAGGAGATAGCCGGCGTCCTACCCTCCCAAAGCTCAAGTTGTGGAGGAGCAATGGGTGTTACCCTCTGGGTCGCTCTGTAGGTATTTAAAGGCTCCTGGGAACCCCAAATCCATGGGCTCTGCTGTACCCCAGGGTGCGTGTGGGGCAGGGAGGGGCTTCCAAGGAAGGTGGGGGCTTTCGGCAGCTTGACGTATCTGTTCCCACCCAACCCTCCCCACCCCCAGGCATAAGAAACGTTGACAATAAGGTACAGAAAATCTTGGAGTTGCTGCAGACAAAGCCACGTAAGTTGGCGCCCCGAGGGGAGGTGGAGGAGGGTGGGTGGGGCTTTGGATTTAGCCCCAGTTCCTCTCCCAGGGGCGGGATCTGCCTCACTGTGGGTCTCTTCCCATCCCCAGAGTCCCCACCTCAATAAATGGGAGAACATTGTGGCAGCCAAAGCTAAAGCTTGGAAGATGGGGCTGCATCTGCTAATGAAGATGGGAAATGACCCGCCTCCAGCCTAGTGTGAACCTGCCCCTCGTCCCACATATAGAAAACCTCGAGTCATGGTGAATGAGTGTGTCGGAGCTGCTCGTGTGTGTGTACACCTGCGTGCGTGTGTGTGCGCGGTGTGTGTGTGCGTGTGTGTGCATTTTGCAAAGGGTGGACATTTCAGTGTATCCCCCAGAAAGGTGATGAATGAATAGAACTGAGAGTCACAGTGAGTGTGGCACGCACGTCTGTGTCACGTGACATACGTGAGTCTCGGCATGTCACGGTGGGTGGCTGTGTCTGAGGACCTCTGAGTGTGGGTGTTGGTGACATGCATTGCACGGGCCTGTCTCCCTGTTTGTGTAAACGTACCCGAGTGTACTGTGGCGTGTTTTGTGTCTACACATGTCATGGTGGGGGAGATGTATCTCTGCACATGTGGGTGTCACCGTCTGTGCCCTGCCACTGTGCCTGGGTGAACAGCTGTGTCATTATAAGTGTGCCAAGTTACGCCACCCTGTGTGCTCAGGGCACATGCACACAGACAGTCATTTATCTCTGCACTCACATTTTGTGACTCATGAAGATAAATAAAGTCAAGGGAAAACAGCGTCGCTATGGGACCTGTTATTGGGGCAACTAGAGGGGCTTTGGGACCTGGGGAAAGGGAGAGTCTGCACATGACAATGACGCCGGGGCACAAGGGTGGGCGAGACTGAGTGCCCTGCGTGAGTACCTGTGTGTCTGTGAATGAGTAACTCATTCCCTGTGTCCCAGAGTGGGTGCCCCTGAGCGTACAACATATCCCTGAGTGTATCTGGGCCCACGGATATATACAAACCCCAAGCGTGTACCCATGTGTATAATCGTGCCCGTGAGTGTATCTATGCCACCGAGCATGCATCCATGAGTGTACATGACTCTAATGTACTATGTCCACCACTCATGCATGCACTTATTTTTTGTTTGTTTGTTTTTTGAGACAGGGTCTTCCTCTATCACCCATGCTGGAGGGCAGTGGTACGATCATGACTCATTGCAGCCTCGACCTCCTGGGCTCAGGTGATCCTCCTGCCTCAGCCTCCCGAGTAGCTGGGATTACAGGTTCACACCACCACACCTGGCTAATTTTTTTTTTAAAAGAGGTGGGGGTCTCACTATGTTGGCCAGGTTGGTCTCAAACTCCTGGCCCTAAGTGATTCTCCCACCTCCGTCTCCGAAAATGCTGGGGTTACAGGCAGGAGCCACCGAGCCCGGCCACATGGATGCACTTAAGACGACTGAACCCATCCCCAAGGGCATAGGAGTGTCTGGAAACGTGAACAGGTGTGTCCATGTGCAAGGGTATACATGGGCCCATTGTCATACGCGTGCCCTGAGCAGGTGACTAGGCCTGCAAGCGTCCCCTCCAGCGTGGGCCACCCAGACTCAGCGAGACCCTGACCACGCGCAGAGCAGCGATCACAGCCGCGGGCCAAGTCCCGGGGTCCGGCTCCACGGACTCGCGCGCCCCCGTGCGGCCGCTCTCGGACACCGCCGCACGCGCCCCGCCCACACGCCTGGCCCGTCGCGCGCCTGCGCACGCTGCGCCTTTTACGGCGCCGTAAAGCAGCGCTGCCCAGCCGAAGGCTGCGGTTCCTGGTGAGATCCTGCCTTACCCCCTTTCCCGCGCCGGGCCTGGTGCGCTCCCGACCGCTTCCCCGCGGGCCTGTGGGTCCCGGGCTGGGGTCTCGACGTCCGCGATCCCGGGTCCGCTCGCTTCCGCCCCCTTCAGGAGGCTGCGAGGAGGGTGGGTTTCTCCCCATTGTAGAGGTACGGAGCGAGAGTCGCGGGGCCCTGTCCCTGCGGCGGTTCAGCTCACTTCAGCCCGCATCGCAGCCCGGTGGTGGGGTCTTAACGATCCCCCTCTCATCTCGCGCGCCCACGGCCCTCGCCACGGACGGATCTGCATGCTGGGGCTGGGGCGACCTGGAGCCCCTGGTACCTCCCTCCCCTCCCAGCTAGTTCTCCCACCTCCCACGCAGATCTCGTTGGGGTCAGCTCAGCATCCACAGACCTCCCCATGCATGGTGGGAGCATGTTCTCAGCTGCCTCTCCGAACCCGTCTCGGCGCCCGCCCCCCACCCCATTTCTCTCCAGGAGCCGCTACCCCATCTCCCTCTCCCTGCACCGACAGCTGATGGGAGGACCACTGTTGCTCAGCATCCAGCTTCCTCTCTGGAGAGCACGGGGGGCGGGGGGGGGGGTGGGAGGCTCCCAACACCTCTGGGCCCCTCCTCCCAGCCTTCAGAATCCAGGCGCATCCGCGTGTCAAAGGACGAAGGGTTCCTGCGTGACACATCGGAGCTGCCTGAGGGCTTGGGGTTGGGGGTTCCCCGCTCCTCCTGCCTGGCCCCACGCATCTCACCTATTCAAGCCCCCAACCCTCATGGCCTTTGGTCTTGACACGCTCCTATCCTCCCACCCTCCACCCTCCACCCCCTTTACTCTGGCTTTCCGCAGGGGGCGGACAGGAAAGTTCCCGAGGGTCCCCAGTGCTGGAGCGCATGACGGGGCAGGGGCGACTGCCCATATCCCCTCTTGGTAACTCATCTCTGTCATCTCCCTGCCCTAGATCTGACGCCCCTCCCCCCATACACTAGTTTTCTAGTTACTCCCATAGGTGGCGGAGCGGGCAGGAAGGCGCTTTTCGCAATTGAACAGTCTGTGTGCCCTAGAGTTGGGTGGTTTCCGGCGCCCTCTTCTGTTCCCCTTCGTGTCTCTCCTTTCACCTTGTCCCTGCTCCTGCTGGCTTGCTGCCTGCCGAGGGTGTAAGCCTCCCCACTTCCCTGATTTATCTGGTTACATGTAATCGAGGCCTGTTTTACGCGCATCTCTTTGCACGTGGGAAGTCGGCACTGGAGCACACAACGGTGGCGTGGGGTGAGGGTGTCCCAGGGTCCCTCGTGGTTCTCCCTCCTTCCCTCCCTGCCTGGTCCCCTTCTCAGTTGCCCCTGACACCCGCGCTTCTTGGTCTCCCAGCAGGGCGGCGGCATGGAGGCGCGCTTTACGCGCGGGAAGTCGGCGCTGCTGGAGCGCGCGCTGGCGCGGCCGCGCACGGAGGTGAGCCTGAGCGCCTTCGCACTGCTGTTCTCTGAGCTGGTGCAGCACTGCCAGAGCCGCGTCTTCTCTGTGGCCGAGCTGCAGGCGCGCCTGGCCGCGCTGGGCCGCCAGGTGGGCGCGCGCGTGCTGGATGCGCTGGTGGCGCGCGAAAAGGGTGCCCGGCGTGAGACCAAGGTGCTGGGCGCGTTGCTCTTCGTCAAAGGTGCCGTGTGGAAGGCGCTCTTCGGCAAGGAGGCGGACAAGCTGGAGCAGGCCAACGATGACGCGCGTACCTTCTACATCATCGAGCGCGAGCCGCTCATCAACACCTACATCTCCGTGCCCAAGGAGAACAGCACGCTCAACTGCGCCAGCTTCACGGCGGGCATCGTGGAGGCGGTGCTCACACACAGCGGCTTCCCTGCCAAGGTCACGGCGCACTGGCACAAGGGCACCACGCTCATGATCAAGTTCGAGGAGGCGGTCATCGCTCGAGACCGGGCCCTGGAGGGCCGCTGACCCTGCCGGAGATAAAGGATACAGAGAGCCCCCTCCCCAAGTGTGTCTTGTGTCTTGTGTGGGGGCCTCAGATCCACTCAGTGTCTTGAGCCACAGCCCTGCCCCAGGCTGGGGAGGGAGACCAGGTCCAAATGTGTTTACAATAGAGTGGGGGTGGTGGGGGCGGGTCTGGCCATAGGGTTGGGGGGTTGAATGAGGCCAGGGGTGGTGGGAGGAAATAAACTGGACAGAAGGATTTGGTGGGAAATGCTGGCAGGTTCTGGAATCACGGTTGGAGGATGTCTGCAGGCTTTAGGGGGCATGGGGTTGTGGGAGCCCATCAGGCCGAGACAGACTCCTTTAGACTTGTGGTGGGTGAAGTGCCAGATGGGCAATATTTTATGCCATTAGTCTTTATTTTTTATTGTTTTTTTATTTGTTGAGATAGAGTCTTCGTCTGTCACCCAGGCTGGAGTGCAGTGGCACCATCTCACCTCACTGCAACCTCCAACTTTGGGGTTCACGCAATTCTCCTGCCTCAGCTTCCCGAGTAGCTGGGATTCCAGGCGCCCACCAGCACACCGGGCTAATCTTTGTATTTTTAGTAGAGATGGGGTTTCACCATGTTGTTCAGGCTGGTCTTGAACTCCTGACCTCAGGTGATCCGCCCACTTAAGTCTACCAAAGTGCTGGGATTACAGGCGTGAGCCACTGTGCTTGGCCGCCATGTGGTCTTGTCCCATTACTCTGTCTACGTATTGAAAGCAACCACAGACAACATGTAAAGGAGTGGGTGTCACCATGTGCCTAGAAAACAGGCTGAGGGGAATTGTTTGCCTTCCTCCCTCATTTATTATATTTTTCAGAGAGAGGGTTTTGTTCTGTCACCCAGGCTATAGAGTGCAGTGGCACAGTCATAGCTCACTGCAGCCATGAACTCCTGGGCTCAAGCGATCCACCCACCCCAGCCTCTCAAGTAGCTGGGACCACAGGTGCACACCACCACAGCCAGCTAATTTTTAAAAAATTTTGGCAGAGATGGTGGGGTCTCACTAGGTTGCCCTGGGCTGATCTCGAACTCTTGGCCTCAAGGGATCTTCCTGCCTCGGCCTCCCTAGGTGCTGGGGTTACAGGTGTGAGCCAAATCCAAGTGTGTTCTGTAGATCAGCAGTAGCAGCATCAACGGGGAGCTGGTCCACAATGCAGTGTCAGGCCCACCCCAGAGCTGCTGAATGTGAGGCTGCATTTTAGCCAGGCCTCCAGGGGATTCCTGGGGACCTTAGACTGAGATGCAGGCCTTAGGGTATCAGAATCGCCAGGAGGGGCTGGGTGTGATGGCTCACGCCTGTAATCCCAACATTTTGGGAGGCTGAGGCGGGTGGATCACATGAAGTCAGGAGTTCGAGACCAGCCTGGCTGACATGATGAAACCCCGTCTCTACTAAAAATACAAAACATTAGCTGGGTATGGTGGCATGTGCCTGTAATCCCAGCTACTTGGGAGGCTGAGGCAGGAGAATCGCTCGAACCCAGTAGGTGGAGGTTGCAGTGAGCCGAGATTGCGCCATTGCACTCCAGCCTGGGCAACAAGAGTGAAACTCCAACTAAAAAAAAAAAAAAAGGCGCGGTGGCTCATGCCTGTAATCCCAGCACTTTGGGAGGCTGAGGCAGGCGGATCACGAGGTCTAGGAGGATCATGAGGAGTTTGAGACCAGCTTGGCTAATATGATGAAACCCTGTCTGTACTAAAAATACAAAAATTAGCTGGGCATGGAGGTGCATGCCTGTAATCCCAGCTACTTGGGAGACTGAGACAGGAGAATGGCTTGAACCTGGGAGGCAGAGGTTGCAGTGAGCCAAGACTGTGCCACTGCGCTCCAGCCTGGGCGTCACAGCAAGACTCCATCTCAAATATATATATGTACTATATATATTTTATATATTATAAATAATATATATTTTATATATTTATATATTTTATATATTTACATAAAACAAGCCTCCAGACAGTTCTGGACTTTGACAGGGAGGTCTC